GGGGCGCTGCTCAAGACCCGCGTGAAAGACTTGACCGTCGTCAGCAGCAACGTGGGGGTGGACGACTTCGGGCTGGGGCTGCTCCTGGGGACCAAGCAGATCACCCGCATCATCTGCTCTTACGTGGGAGAGAACGCGCTGTGCGAGCAGCAGTACCTGGCGGGCGAGCTGGAACTGGAGCTGACGCCCCAGGGCACCCTGGCCGAGCGAATCCGCGCCGGTGGGGCCGGAGTGCCCGCCTTCTACACGCCCACGGCCTACGGGACCCTGGTGCAGGAAGGCGGCGCCCCCATCAGGTACTTCCAGGACGGCCACATCGCCATCCTGAGCCAGCCGAGAGAGGTGAGGGAGTTTCGCGGGCACCACTACCTGCTGGAGCACGCCATCACGGCGGACTTCGCTCTGGTGAAAGGGTGGAAGGCCGACCGCGCAGGAAACGTCATCTTCAGGCGAAGCGCCCGGAATTTCAACGTGCCCATGTGCAAAGCTGCGGAAACCTCAGTGGTAGAAGTTGAAGAAATCGTGGATGTGGGGTCGTTTGCCCCAGAAGACATCCATGTTCCTAACATTTATGTAGATCGCGTCATACAGGGGGAAAAATATGAGAAAAGAATTGAGCGTTTAACAGTCCGGAAGCAGGAAGATGGAAAAGCCAAGTCTGCAGAAGATATACGGACACGAATCATCAAACGGGCAGCTCTTGAATTTGAGGATGGCATGTATGCCAATTTGGGCATAGGAATCCCTCTTCTGGCCAGCAACTACATCAGCCCGGATATAACTGTTCATCTTCACAGTGAGAATGGTGTCCTGGGCTTGGGTCCATTTCCACTAAAACATGAGGTGGATGCAGATCTCATCAACGCTGGGAAGCAAACGGTCACCATTTTCCCCGGGGGCTGTTTTTTCTCCAGTGATGACTCGTTTGCCATGATCCGAGGAGGCCACATCAACCTCACCATGCTGGGAGCCATGCAGGTTTCCAAATACGGCGACCTGGCCAACTGGATGATCCCCGGAAAGAGGGTGAAAGGCATGGGGGGTGCGATGGATTTGGTGTCCAGTACCAAGACCAGAGTGGTGGTCACCATGGAGCACTGCACCAAGGCCAACGAACCCAAAATCGTGGAGAAGTGCACGATGCCCCTGACCGGGAAGCGGTGTGTGGACCGAATCATCACGGAGAAGGCCGTGTTTGACGTGCACGAGAAGAGAGGGCTGACGCTGACCGAGCTCTGGGAAGGCCTGACGGTGGAGGACATCAAGAAGAGCACGGGGAGCACCTTTGCCGTCTCTCCCAATCTCAGACCCATGCAGCAGGTGGCAGCCTAACCGGGAGAAGACCTTGTCACAGAGCGTGTCTGTCACGTTAACCTCGCGGGATTTCATCCAAAGGAAGTCGAGAACCACATGTATACGTGTCACAGGCAGTCTGACCAGCTTTCTCCTGGCATCTCAGACTTGCTGACTTTGTTCTCTCCAGAGGGATATGACTTTAATTAAAAACAAAAGGGAACATAGAAGTTTATCGTGTGTGTTCTGTGAGTGCTGAGAAAACTCTGCTACGTGACCGAGGACGGTCTGTGCATGTTCAATTCTCTGCAGCTTGAGATGATCCCACAGGCAGGGTTTCATTGAAACCCATTTCATTGAAATGCTTCCCTCATGAGTAAATCATGAAATGTAAAAATGATGAGGGAGGGGATAACTCCACCTGGGGTATACCTAAGGCACCATGTTCCTAGTAATGTGAAAAGTACATGGCATGGGGCCGGCCTGGTGGCTTAGCGGTTAAGTGTACGCGCTCCGCTGCTGGTGGCCCGGGTTCGGATCCCGGACGCATACCGACGCACCGCTTCTCCGGCCATGCTGAGGCCGCG